AGTTTATCATAGATTAATCATGAAATTTTTTAAAATAATTTTTTTTAAAAAATTACAAATTTTTAGCTTTTAAGTAATATTAAATTTTTATTATTAGTTCAGAACGTTAGTGAAGGACTATTTACTTTCTATACATTGTATCCGTTTGTCCGCCCGCTTATCATTTGAAATGACGAATATTGGCTATTTATAAATACTGTGGTATATTTTTCTAAAAAAAAAACTGCCCGCAACATAGATTTAATAAATTCTCCCTAAAATGTATTGTATTTATTTTATTAGACGTAATGACATATTCAATGATATTGACATAATTAATTCACGTGATCTTAAGCTTCAGACTTTACAACGATGATACCATTTCCTAGTATAATTAAAAGAGAAAACTTATTATAATATATTACATATTTATAAAATTAATTTAAAAATAAAAATTTTAAAAATATTAATTATTTATAAAAGTAAATCAAAGAAGTATTTATAAAAATAAGTAAGCAAATTTTCTTGCAAATTCTATAATTTAAGGGATAATAGTTATTATTATACTTGCTATTACTACTGTTGTAATTATTGTTATAATTATTAATATTGCTATTAGTATTATTATATAGCTATTACTACTATTTGATATTGTTATCATTAATATTTATATATAAATAACTGAAAATATTAATAGAAGTAAGTTAAATTATATTAATAAGATTTAAAATAATAATAAAAATATTATTTATTTAATTTAACCTAAAAATAACTTCTAAATTCTTTATAGTACATATTAATATTTCTAATTTCTTTATCCTTTAAATCATCAATAAAAAATTATTATATTTTCTTTCAAAAATTAGCTGATATTTAAAAAGATAAACTTTGCAATCTTTTACTAATTTATGAAATTTTTGCTTGTTTACTATTCTGAAAAATTATAATAAATATGATAGTTAAATCATGTAAAATAAATAAAAGAGATATTTATTACAATTTTTTAGAACTTTCAAAAAAAAAATAAGAACAAAAAAAATTGTGAAAAGCTAAATATATATATTTTATATATTATATTTAAAATATATTATGTATTATTACTATTAAAATTCTGAATGAATCATATTAAGTGAGTTTTTGTCAAACTTAACTTAACTTGACTTAATTATATTTAGTAAATAAAGGTGCAATATATAATTTGTTTTAATAAAATATTAAAAAAATTGTTTAAAGGAATGATAAAAAAAAAAAATGATAAAAATAATTTTTCTGATAAAAATAAAATATTATTCTAAAGAAATAATAAAAGAATGATTATTAAAATAATTTTTCTATTATTCCTTAAGAATGATATACTATCATTTTATTAGAATAATATTTTTATTATTCCTTTAGAATGAAAATTTATCATTCTATCAGAATGAAACTTCTATTATTTCTTTAAAATAATATTTTATCATTTTATTAGAATAATTTTTTATACTTTCTTAAAAAAATTGTTAAATTTTTACTCTAGTTTAGCTTGACTTTAAGCTCAATTTTGAACTTGAGTTTTGTTTGACTTAGCTTGAGTTTAGCTTGAATTATCTTAAGTTGAGTTAAGCTTATCTTAAAACTCAACTTAAGTTAAATGAGTCAAACCTTTTTTTGACTTAACTTAACTTAACTTATTTGACTCAAAATTTAGCTTAATTTATTCAGAATTCTAATTGCTATTATATTGCATTAGTATAGGCTATATATATTTAGTTTGTATTTTGTACTTTATATCTTATTACATATACCTCTAATATAATATTTTACCACTTATTATATTTTACTCTTTATAAGATACCCATAGATATGAATCAATTCTAAATTAAAAAAATTGATTTATATCCAAAGTATTTTATATAATGCTATATGGTAATTCATAAATAAATTCACATTATTCATAAATTATTATGAAATAAAATTTTTTTTTTTTTTAATATTTAATTAATCAAATATGTTAAATATATCTTTTTATAATAAATTAGCTTTTTATAATCTTATAATAAAATTAAAATTCAGATCTTAAAGTTTATTATATCAAATGTTATTTGTAATTTTTAAAATTTCTAAAAAATATAAACTAAAAACAAATTTTTTTTTATTAATAAAATTATATAATTTATAATAATATTAAAATAAAAATTAAGTATTTACTATTTCATAATAATTTTTTTTAAAACTTTATACTTTTTAAATTTTAAATAATAAAAATTAGTAATTATAAATGTAAATAACTTGAATAAGATCTTTAATTACTTTTTAAATTATTAAAAAAAGTACTTAAAATTATTTTAAATAAATAAGAATTAATAATTTTTGAAAAATTTAAATTTAGTAATATAAATAAAATAAATTTTAATCAATAAATTAAATTTAAATTTATTTATATTTAATTAATAACAAGTTTTTATTAATTTTCTTTACTATTAAAAAGATCATTATATTATATTAAAAAATAAACATTTAAATCAAGTTTCTTTTTGCATTAGAACTTTAACCAAAATTAGTAATGTTCATTCTGCATAATTGTCCCAAAAAATTCCTTTTTCACAAACTATTATCGCGAAACATTTTTTTTTTGTGTTTGACTCTTCTCGTTCCCTTTCTTTTTTCTTTCCTTTCTCACTCGTTTCTAGTCACTTTTGCATATGATTAAAAATTTTTTGAATTTTTTCTTATAGTATATAAACCTTTTTTTTCGTAGAAGTAAAAAACAGCGTAAAAGATTTTACTTGTTCTGGGGTTATGTACCTTCCTTTGACGGTCAAAGAACTTCGATCAGATAGAAACTGGTCATAAAACTCCAGAAGCGATAACTGGTACAAACGTACAGAGGATAAAACTGGGAAAACAAACCGCCAAGAAGAAAATCTTGGGACTGGAATAAAATAAATTTTAAAAAAAAATAAAAATAAAAAATAAAATGAATAAAATAATATAGTAATCAAATGCTCTCCATGTTTAGTTTGAAATGGTTTAGATTGGGAACTTTGTTTGGTATACATTTTTTTTTTGGTTACTATTAGAACTGACGTTATCGTCGTGCAACCATTAGTTATAGTGTGGATTTAAGTTCAGATTGTGTTGAAGTTACACTCGATAACTTTGCAAATATTTACAATACGAACAATCCATCTTTTTCTCTCGTAATAATATTCATCTCTTTTGAGGGGTAATGAGATATATCTGGCGAACAAATTTATTATTACCTATTTCGTAACAGCAATGTATGAAATTTATTATTTATTGACATGTACATGCACAATTGTACGCAAAATTTTACTAATTTGAAAATCGACAAAACCAGTATTATTAGTATAATAAAGGGAATTAATATAGGCATTTTTTTTTTTATACAAAATATTTACATAAACAACAATCGAAATCGAATCAATTCTTGGAATTAGAAAATGAAATTTCTTATAATTTGAAAAAAAAAAAAAAAAAGAAAAAAAGGGAAAAGAAAAGAAAAAGAAAAGAAAAAAAGAAAATTCCAACATTAAATTAAATAAAAATAATGATACCAAGACAAATCTTAGAAATATTTACGGTTCAATTAAAGAATGAACCAAAATCTTTAATTATAATCCGAACCATTACTGCGATTTTGTTATTTAGTTTATTAATTTTTTATGCAACTATTCAAGTTAGTACGTGTTGTCCTAAAGTTAGGAATTTTAATTAATTAAAAGTCGATAGAATTTAAAAATAATTTTACAATTAAATAGATAATGTTAAATCAGACAATCCCGTATATGCATCTACACCGGCTCATAATGAAGAAAAATCAATTCCGATGCCAAGTACGTCAAATGACATCAAATGCGTCTTTATTTAATTCACTTGTTAATTGAACTTTTTATTCCTAAATAGTTTTACATTTTACCTTTGGATATCGGTTTACATTAACATGTCAAATAATTGGATGTATGTATAAATTCATGTCAAACTACATGAAATTTCGATTATCGCTCAATTAACGTTTTTCCCTCCTCTTCAAAGCTGTAACAAAGTTTTCAACAGAACAATGCGCGACATATTTACAACAACCAGAGTTAAAATTAAATTCTAACGGTGTTTATGAGGCGTTATTTAAAGCAAATGGGTTAAATTTTACTAAAAGGGATATTGAAAAGTTTGAGGTTGCAATTATAATGGATCATCCAGAAGAGATACCTGCAACTAGTTTAGGTGTTGAAGTGAGAGCTTTTGATTCTCGTAAGTATATATAAAATAATTAATAATAATAATATTTTTTTTAAAAAAACAAAATACTAAAACAAATTTTTTTTGTAAAAATTAAAATAAAATAATCGACGGTTCGTGTAGAAGTACAAGATCCTTTATTAATTGAAGATTACAAAGAGACTAATATTCATGTTATTGAACAACTTCTATCTTTAATTGACGTGAATTTATATTTTCTGGCTTTTAACCAGGTAAGAGTAAATCGGATACTTGATTTCTTTATACTTTAACTAAATTTAATTTCTCTCTCTAAATCATTGTATTAATTAGTTTTATGATCTCGAGTTATCAAGAATTCGAAGAAACGTAATAGAGAAAAAATGGTGGAACATTTTAGGAATTCCATCGAGATATGTAGATGAAACGTATTTAAATTCCGTTTTAGAAAGTCGACCATACTCTCCATTTGATGTGTCTTCAGGTCCATCTTATGCTAAATTAGTGGTTTTTATGAGAACTTGGAGAGTTCCACTTGAACAAGAACAAAAGTAAGTGATACTTTATTAAATTTTTTTTTCGTTTTGAAAAGTATTTGATTTAAAATTTTTTTTTAATTTTAGTGAGAGAACGGTAAATAATATTGAATCATTCTATCGTTATTATAAACTTTCATATAAATTAATAAATAATATTACATTTAGTTATTTGATACATTTGGTCAACTTGCCGGTATAGCGGGAACATTATCACTCGTCTATGTCTTCTTGTTCGGTAATTAAATATAAACATCATAGCTTCTATTAAAAAAAATGAAAAATAAAAAAAAATTAATTTATAATTTTCTAGGTGTTGGACCAAGTGCAATTCATTCGTGGGGAGTAATCCAAAGGATGAAATGTTTTGGTATCCGAAAAGGAGTCAAGAAACATATGAATCGTCGTTATCCAAGATTACCGTTTATTATCTCAGAAACCGATAAATCAAAAACCATTGACATAGGTGATGATGGAATAGGTGTAGCAAATTCACCAACGAATCATGATGAAGTACAAATTGAAATCCTGGAAAGAATAGATTCTATAGAAAGGTTTCTTAGGGAATTTGTGGTGGATGCAGATTTTATCAAAACGTTGGACCCCGAAAAATAATGAGCGTTAGATAGATGTCGTAATGCTGGGCGGGATTATGAACATGGTAGTTACGTCGCGTGTATTAATATTAATTATGTTTAATTTAATTATGTACTTTTTTTATCTTTTATTTTTTTATTTTTATTTTTTTCAAAAATAAATCAAATCCTGATTCCTTTTAAGTTGAATAATTTTCAAATTTCCTAAAAATTACTGAAGGAAACGAAAATCCCACGATTTTTTTTTAGAATTGATTAAGGCAACCAATTCGGATTGAAATAATTTGTCTAACATTAAAAGTATAAAAAAAGTATATTCTTATTCTTATTAAAAGAATAAAAAGAAGGAAAAAAAAAAGATTTTTTTTAATGATCATCTTACATCATCATAATCATTTATCTATTTTTTAAATAAAAAAGAAGGTTTTTGAAATGAAAAAATGAAAAGGTGAAGTACGGAAAATTTTGTCATATGATTAGCGGACATTTCAGGAACGATAATGAGAAACCTTGATTTGGATAAATTCATTGTAAAATTCTTTTCAAGGGATTTCATACAAAAAAAAAAAATTTGATTAACGAAAAAGAAATTTCTTTTTCATTTCTATCCCAAAAGAAGGGAACACAGAGCAAATGATTATATTATATGGTTCGAATATCCTTATGTTATTGCATAATCTATCACCGAAATTTTCTAGATAAGGGAATAGATTATTTACTTTTGGTGTGTGTCGGCGATGCCTTATATGAAATTAATTATTTGTCCGCGAACAATATTAAAGTTATCGCGATTTATAATAACCTACTCTTTTTATTTTTTTTTATAACGAATGTACGCCAAATAAATAACGCTTGGAGGGAAGTGAAAAAAAAATAAATTTAGAAGTACGAATTTATAAATATAACACGAAATATTCTGCGCTACTTACGCGTGATGTGATTGATTATTTATGACGTATAACGTTCGGTTTTATTTATAGCCTTTTTTCCTTTTATTTGTTTTATTTTTGAGAACCTTGATGAATTGATGAAAAAGATTGTTCAGAGATTTTCCTTTAAGGGGCATTTTCAATTGCTGTGCTCCGAAAACATCCATGAAATTATCGATTTTCAATAATTATTAAAAAAAAAATTTGTTTCAACAATGGGATTTGACTTTAATGAAGGATCCAGTGCATCATATGTACAACTTTAATTCATCGTTTGTTCTTTTCGTAGATTGCGCAGTAGATTGCAATCAATTAAGGTTTATCTAGGTCCCTGTTATAAATCAATCCTCAAACAAAAAGTTTCTACTTTCCATTGGAAATTTCAGTAAAGTTATAAAAGTTTCATGATTTTCCAAGTCTTTGCTATGAAACAATATAAAAATTTTGCAATTCGTCTCTCGATTTAGTTAAAATGTTTAATTATACCCAATAAATTGTAAATGAGAAAATGAGAACGAAAGAATTTAAAAAAAATGTTTCAAGGGGAAATTTTGTACATGATGAATCAGTCACTTTATGGTTTTGCGTGCAGATCTTTTGTCTTTTATAAGTAATGTTCGTCCTTTCCAAGCAATACTCTTGTTTCATCGACCACATTTCGTTTCACTTTTTGATTACAAATATTACAAATGTTTGAATTTTAATAAAGAGAGCTATTTTGCTGCGGGAACCTTAGATTCAAATGCAAATAATCCAGTATCAATTTCGGCATGCAAATGCAATCTTGATCGTAAATTATTTAATTTATTCCCTTTAATGTCAAACATCTCTTTTTTTTTTTTTTTGAATAAAATTTTTTTGTTTGTACCTCCTTATTGATATTCTATTAAGTTTCAACCCCTGTTTTTTTTTTTTTGAGTTTCAAGAGATTAAATCTCAACGGGTATAGGTTTTCTTTGCCTTTGTCTTTGCATTAAAAAGGGATATATTTTTTCTCGTGACGTTGTATTGTTTATGCATTTTGTAAATTACGCGCATCCATGATACTGTTTCAAAAAGAAATGGTGGTTAACAAAACGAGTAAGTCGATTCATAGCAATTAACCTATTTAGTGTGTTAATTTAATACTTATTTCTTTAATAGTGTTAAGTTCATTTTTTTAAATTTATAAGTGTGTATATACAATAAAAAAGTCATAGTTGCTTTGTAATACTGATTAATGATTTTCTTTGTATTTTTTGTCAAAGGAAATAATAACAATATTAACGAAATTTGGATTACAAAATATTTTGAGATCGGAGAAATAATTATGAATTTTTGACCATCAAGTTTTCCGAAATAATTTCATGCACGAAAATTAACACGAATTAATTATTTGTCACCCTTTTTCTTTTTTTAAACATTCTAAAAAAAAAACCGAGGATTTGATCTACATATAAGGCAACGTCGTTCTATTGTTGGAACCATTATGTTTTTAAATAAAGAATCATTCGAAAAAAAAGTTAATTAATTTTTTATGCCCTTAGACTCTGGGGAAAAATTACGCAGATATTTATTTTAGATGATCGAACGATGCAAAAAGAAACCAGTATCCCCAAAAGTTTTGAGATAATGTCGCCATTGTTTTCGAAAGCAAAAAAAAAAAAAAAAAAAAGAGAAGATAATTCGTTAAGTGATGCCTCTCTCCCCTAGTTACAAGGTATAGTAACATATCACATATGCGATTTTTAAAATGGGTGCATTCCCATTGATTGATTATTCAACTCCTAATAAGATGCCTCTTTCAATTGTTTATATTTCGTATTTCGTAATTCAAGGGTTGTATGTTATCTCGGTACCACACTAACATCTGCGCGATAAAGCAAATAAGTGACACGAGAGTTTTTCTTACCTCGCTGTTTTTCTTTGAGACCATATATCCCTTGGCAGAAGCTTAAAAAAATCAGGGTAACCCTAATTGGACATGGTTACTCAGTTTCGCAAGTTCTTTTTATAAATGAGATGCGTCATTTAGGCGAATGGGAGAATTAGAGTTTTTGACGAGGATCACGTGTTTAACGTTGCTCGTGGCTTTATGACAACAAAATCTTTCTGGAAGGTCAAAAAAGAAAAAAATTAAATAAAAATTGACAAGCCTCCGCCAAAATGACATTTGCTATGCTCTTGTTTGTTGTTAACGTTGCCACAACAATAAATAACTCCGCAATTTCGATGCCGGGAAGTTGAATTCTCATTATCAACCCACCTGATTGCAAGATTTTGTCTTGGTAATTTAAATAATGTATTAAAAAAATAAAATAATAATATAATAATTACGAAATTTGAATGAAACACCTTATTTGTCCCTAACTAGAATGGTTTATCACTAACTATATTAAGATGCAGATCCATAAACCTTGCATAAATGTATGCCAGTTTATTATACTTCAAATTGTTTGAAAGATTTTAGTTGTTACATCAAAAAGGAATTTCCATAAATCCGTTTCTAACTTATTTCTTACATCAAAGGAATTAATTATTATTATTATCATTATCATATTATTTGTTATATTTTTAAAACCTTTTCTATTTTACATTTTCTTTTCTGAACAAAAGAAAAAAGACCTTAAAACGTGGCGTTCAATCCAAATGAAACTTACGTCAATAGTATGACATTTTGGACATCTATTCATAGATCACCTTTTTAAAGATCGAATGAATTTTTTTAAAGTAGCAGATTTATTTTTGGGGGTATGTAATGTGTAATACGCATGTATCATGACAAAATCAACTTTTGCTTTCTTTACCCTTCCTCGTGTGCTCATTTCAACATCAAAAAAGAATTTTTAAATAAATGCCGTGTTAACGCCCTGGCTTTGCGTGTGAAACCATGAATTTATACAGGTTCATTCTTATTGATTGAAATTTTTTTATTATTATTATGTTATGTTGTGTAAAATAATGGTGAATTAGAATATCTATAATTAAAAGATGTTGACAGATTTGTATAATTTAATTTAAATGATCCCGCTCCATTTTTTCTATTGGACGATGGGTTGAGAGATTTCATTAACTCTCACAATTTATCCACCTTTTCTTTTTAATTGCGGCGGTGGAGGCAGAAAGGTGAACTGAAGCAGAGCAAAAATAATCGAGCAAAGTTGAAAGGAAAAAAAAAAAAAAGAGATTATGGCATGCCTTACCGATTGATTACCAGTATGCGGATCAAAAAAAAACTTAACCTCCCTCTCTTTCAAAGTTCGTAATTGTGGTGGTGGTGGCTCTATGAAAGTTTACGGGATTTACGTTTCTGGTAAAATTGTTATTTATCAAGATGATATTGGGTGTTTGACAAAAATAAACAAAAAACTGATTCCAACCACCACGGATTTACTCCCGGGGTCGAAGAAAGAAGAAATCTATTTTTAATCAAGATCACCTGACCGGAAGACCCAATATTATCATCTCCCCCCATATGAAATGAAGAGTTTTTTTGGCTTATTGTATAATTTCCGTTTCAAGTATCGCCCGAAAGATACACCGCCTCTTTTTTTGATCCTAGTTGATCCGCAGTTCTATGGAATAAAAAGTTCCGAACGTCATTATTTCAGATCTTTGTATTGCTTTATCCCTGCTTTGTTGTTTACATTGGCGTTTAAATTAAATTTTTTTTTTATTTATATTGCTTTTAAAACCCGGAATGAATTTTCATTTCCTTTATGCCACTGTATCACGAACATCATGTTTTTATAAGTAATATAAACAACAATATAAATTACCTATTATTATTGAATCAAACCCTATTTGTAACGCTCCACATCAAAAAAATTGCCTTCCGTGTTTTTTTAGAATAACTCTTCCCACACACAAAAATAAATATATTTGAAATTGTAAAAAAAAAAAAAAAAAAAAAAAAAAAAAATAAAAATAAATAATAATACGTTTTCACATATAAGTAAATTACCATATATGATTAGTCTTTTCTATATTCAGAGAAAAAATATATTTGAAAATAACGAGTTCAATCATGATGAATAAATTTTTTTTTTAATACATTCGAGGAATATAAATATGCAGCTTCTCGACGTGCCTTTTCATTTTTTTTTTCCTTTCTTTCCTCTCATATCATAATAAAATTTTTTTTCAACGACTTTTTTTATTAAAAAAAATAATAATAATTTTCTCACGTCCACAAAAAAAAAAAAATTTTTTTCGAAATTTTTTTTTTTTGCATTGCCCTTTACTTAATTGATTATTCCTTCTGAACCCCCCTATAAAAAATAATAATAATAATAATAATTCTTTTTGATAATAAGAATTTTCATATTTTCTTTTCACGATAAAAATAAATTAAAATTTAATGATGTCTTTCTTAAACAAGTCACTCATCATTTTGGCAGTTTTGGCCGCTTATATCGCAGTGGCAGTATTTGCTGTAAATGAAAGAACCCCTAGCGATCAAGTCTGTCAATTATCCAAAAAAGAACCGGCAGATGGAACTCAAAACCGTAACGGTTCATGTGTTCAGACAGTTTTGGGTGAAATTCCAGATGTAGACCACATGATTTCAACCTTAATCCGCTTCCCAGTTAATAACGATGTCATCTGCGCAAACGAACCTTTCACGATTAAGACCGAATCGTTCAATTTACTCACCGGATTTTTCGACGATCCCGTTAATGAATATTATATCTTTCCACAAACCCTTGATGACAACTTGGGACAAATTCAAGGACATTCTCACATTACTGTTCAAAAACTTCTCGGAAATGATATTCCTGATCCAAGAATTTTCGCTTTCTTCAAAGGTTTGAACGACAAAGCAATTGACGGCATCTTATCAGTACTGGTCGAAAAGGGTTTACCAGTTGGTAATTACCGTGCTTGTACCATGGTTTCTTCATTCGCTCATCAATGTGTCTTGATGCCTGTTGCTCAACGAGGTAATTATCGATCTTCAATTTAATTTTTTTTTGATTTCAATTTGACGATCTTGGTTTTCTAACCTTTCAATTTTAAAAAATTTATAGGCTCACAAGACGACTGTGTCAGATTTAAGGTTGTAGAACGAAAAAATAACGCAAACAAAAATAATTGTAGAGTAAATTAGAGAGGAAAAAAAAAAAGGTCTAAAAATATCCGTCACCTCTAATATTTCACGTGACTTAATTTGAGTAAAACCTGAACTTTTTTTTGTTTCTGTAGTATTTTTTTATTTATGTAAATGTAAATTATTTTATAAAAAAAAGTTCTATTTCACTTTCCTCTAGATATAGTAGATATATATATATATATAGTATTTCTTCTTTTTTTTTATAGTTTGGATCTCAATAATATTTTATTACTGCACTATGTCATCCATTTTTTTTTTTTTGTAATAAAAAAAAAGAAAACAAGTTTATCTTTTTTTTGAACGACAAGAAAAAAGAAACAAAAAGAAAAATTAGATTACCGCTGTCAATCAATTTTCGTTAAGAAATTATTTACAAATAAAATAATTAATAAACAACTTGATACATATTTTTTTTTTAAATCAAAATTTTTATTTTTTCCATTTGTCCATTGATTTTTAATGTGGTTTCTAAAGTTTATATTTATAAACGTGGTGATTATCGATGAGAATTTGTTATCGAGTAAAGATTCGAATGCGCCAACATTCTAAGTCGCGATTTCGAAAAAGGAATTACGGAAATGCGTTGAACAATGTGTTGAACAAAGCGATATTTAATAAATCAATAAATTCTTACGTGTTTATATGCTGATTTGAATAATAAAAAGACAAAAAGAAAAGGAAATAATAATATTAACGATTGAAAATTTAAGACCTTTTTTATAAGGGAAAAATTCAAATTTATCACACGAAAAATCAAAATGATTCTTGTCGTATACGTCGTATACGATGTGGGTCTTGGTCTTAGCCGCTTAGTTTTATTAACATAAAAATTGAAAAAGAAAATACAAATAGCAAATATAGACCGCTTCTTATATTCCAGTTTTTTTTTTTTTAAAAAAAAAAATTTAATTCTCATTGGACTGTAATTCACGTGACTTTCGAAAATTCTTTTTCGTCGGAAATTTTCGTCACCTGCCACTTGAACAAAAAGTAAAAAGTTTGAAACCCGGAATATTTCCCCATAGGCGCAAAAAAAAAATATTTAATCTGTAATCAATTTTAAACCGATCCATTAAGTTTTGGGAAATCAAAATATAAATATTTTTTTTGGGCGAAATTCTGGCCAGCATTATAGGTTGGATTATTCGCTTAAACAATTTATTATTTTCTTTTCTATATTTCTAATGGATTTTTCATCGGATATTAATGAGGACATGATATAAACGACGTTACCCAAAGGTCTAGTTTTAATGCCAAAATCATCGATAGAATTACGTTCAACGTGGGAAAGTTTCTCGGTAAAAAGTTTGGCAACATTAGAACCATAACCACCACCACTTTTATCATTTAATTCAATAGATAATATGGTACCCAATGCAAATACACCATTAACATTTGGTAAACAAGAAAGTTTTTTCACACTACTTTTGCTCCATACACTAAAGATTTCGTTGTCTGAATCGCCCCACTCCTCTCTTGATTTATTCCAAACATTTTTGAACAGATCAATATATTCATTGATCGAAGTATTTGCAACCAAACAACCGATAGGATGTGCTGTATACGAATGACCGTGAAGTAAGGCATCAACTTTTGTGTTACCAAGAAATTTGTCAAATATCTGTTCATTAGTCAAAGTAACCGCCAAAGGACATAATCCGCCGGTTAATAACTTTGCGTAAGCCGCGATGTCTGGATTAACATTTAAATATTCGGCACCAGACTGTCTACCCAATCGCCAAAATCCTGTGAATACTTCATCAAATATTATTGGAATATTGAGCATCGAACGAACAGATTTAATCAATTGATTTTGATATAATGGATCAACGAATATCATTCCTCCAGCACCCATCACTATTGGTTCCATTATCAATGCTCCAAATTGGTCACCTTGATTCAAATGATCAAGTATTTGTTTTTCGATCTTTTGCTTGTAATGATATGACAATCGATCCTTTTCGACTCGACTCTCACTAAATATCTCTGACAATGAATCAAACCTACCAACTTCATCACCATTGGTAAATATTCTGTATGTATTATCTTTCATTAATATTTGTGGGGGGGAAAACCAAACACCTTTCGGAGAATACCAATTAACGCGTTTATTATAAATACTAGGAATACTCGCATTCATCACTCCAATCGTATCACCATGATAACTTCCTTCCAAACCCAATATCAATAATTCCTTCCCATCTCCAGGTTGCTTTTCGGTTAATGCCATCTTTAAAGCAACTTCCATGGCGGTACTTCCATTATCAGAATAAAATACTCTGTTGGCCCAATTTTTCCCTACCCCATCAAGCAAAGATTCCGATAATGATAAAGAAGGTTCATGAATCGATTCGGGAAATAATATGTGACCGTATCTGCCTGATGCATACGATGCCGTCAACGATAATTTAGAATTTCCATGACCCAATCCCTGCGTCCACCAACTTGCGGATCCATCAAATGTCTCTACTAAATTAGAATCATCCTTGTAACTTATTAATAAATCTTTATAAGCAGAATCAATTACGTTAACCCCATCAACGATATTGTGTTGAGTGAATGGCCACCAAACCATTTCCTTTGCTTTTTCTTCCATTTCATCCAGTCTACTAAACCTATTGTCATGCCATTCCTCTAATGTACTAATTATGGCTTGAAATTTTTCATCATTTGAATCAAAATATGCTTTTAACTCTTTGACATCTGATAAATCATTTTCCGCTTTTGGTGGTGGTAATGAAATGGTAAATATTTTAGGCGTGATAATAGACGAATTTTGATTCTCATTAAAATATTTTTCAATGAATAAATGGTTATTATATCTTTCATTATTAAATAATAGTAAGGTTGGGATGTCATATCCTCTTAGCGTTAATGATTCATATGACGATATTGTCGTACTTATTCCCCCTAAATTACTATCTCCCACTAAAACTATCGGTAACCTCAATGCTCGATAAAACTCCGATTGTATGGTACCTAAATAAAATAACAAATAATTAGATGACATTAGGATCGATTGATGACATCTCACAATATTTACCTGACATGATCGGACTATTTACACCGCCAGCTGTTTCCAAAAATAACCTCCCTCCATCTTTCAATGATTCATTATAAGATTCCGATATGGTTCCCTTTATTTTGTTTAATACATCTTCATCTTTAGGTATCGGGTTATTAGTCGCTAAATGTGATGAAACCGCTTTTTCGTATTTATACAATGACTCAAGTTTAATTAAGTTATTAAACTTTTCGGGAAGATATGTTTTCACAAATCGTAAATCATCATCTTTTGGATATCCCGTTTGAATTGGTTTTAAATAATAATGATTTTTGTTCCTTTGAGATTTTATTATTGAAGCTCTTATCAATCCTGTCGAAAATATCGTTTTACCCAAATTAGTGTTTGACGAAAATATTTGATAAATTTGAAATTTTTTCGTCGGAAAATAATTATAATACATTTTTCAGGAATAAAAAAAAAAAAAAAAAAAAAAAAAAAAATTAAAATCGTCTAAAAATGGTCTAAATCTGACTAAGTTTGTCTAAATCGGTCTAAAATCTAAATAATCTAAATAGTTTAACCAACTTAAATAAATTATTATATTTGTAACTCAAAAAGGAAAGAATATTGTTTACTAAATACTGATTTCCTTTTTTAAGCAAACGTTTTTAAGAAAAACAACATTCAGGAGAAAGATATTTATTTACCTAGATTCTCATCTTTTTGTTTGTTTATTTTTTAATTTTTTTTTTTTTTATTGTATATTATATTTTTTCTCTCTCTCCTTTCCCTCTATTTTCCCTTTTTTTATTAAAAAGTTCCTACCTAACTTTAACAAAGGTGAAGAGAAATTTGCGAAAATGACTACTTTATTCACTGTAAGTGTTCTTCTTGTAGTATTCCATGCTAACGCGTTATCTTTCTAAAAACTTTTCCCCCTTTTTTTTAGATAGGTGCAGAGTACGAAAGGGAGAGGCTAGAACGTATTGAACAAAATCGTGCTATCTTAGCAAAGCTTGGTTTAGATAGTGATAATTTGCGTAAATTATCACTTAAAAAACCTAAACCTGTTAAGAGAACGTATATCGTTAATAATAACTCTGATAATAACAACGGAAGCAGTGAAGGCGAACAAGACAAAAGAAGGCCTTCTCGTCGTAGTGAAAGAATTAAAGAAAAGGTATATATATATTATATATATATACATTTTTTTTTAAAAAAAAAAGTGGGTTACACTCGTTATCGACGCGTCCTACAATATCATGTATTTATTAGACTCCAAGATATAATCTTCGTAAGAATGTTAACGCACCGCAGCTATATACTTCAGTTCCTAAACCTTCCAAGGTACCATTATTCGCTAACCAAATTCGTTATTGGGAAATATTTCTAACGCGAATTAATTTGATGGCTTGTTGTTCAGACATCACGTGACTCTCCTCATAAAATTAGATACGTAGAAAAATCCTCCTCTAGATCTTATAGAAGACTTGCTTCGCGTAACCACCTCGGCAGGAGAACTTATGGTGGTCGTATTTATGATTCTGAACATGGTACGACTTGTCATCAATGTCGTCAAAAAACAATTGAAGATAAGGTTCAATGTACCGTAAGTATTACCACACGTTAATCGAAGAATTTAAATTGTTTCACTTAAAAGTTTAACGCAAAAAAAAAATTATTTTTATTTAATAGAATGTACTTCATGATGGATCGTTATGTAAAGTAATGATGGATGAACGATGTTTGGTTGGCAGGTGAATTTTGTAATCATTTAATTTCATGTATTCCTCCTCATCGACCGAAATAATTTGAAAAAATTGACGATATTTATTTTTATTATCTTTTATTTTATTTTTATTTTCTTCAATTAGATATGGACAAACCTTACAAGATGCACGTGAATCAGGGGAATGGAGTTGTCCTAAATGTAGAGATGTATGTAACTGTTCGTTTTGTAGAAAAAAGAAAGGTTTGTCTGCTACAGGCATTCTTAAACATGTAGCTTTGAAAGCCGGTTACAATTCTGTCATGGAATATCTAGGTGATGCTTAAATAACGAAATTTTTGGCTGGTTCGAATTTTTTTTCCTCGTTTGGTAGACATTATAATTTTAAATTCTTTAGTATTAAAGAAATTGTTTTCTTTGAACTTTTTTAATAAATTGAGAATTCTTTAAGATATGTAGCATCATCCCTTTGGAATTGAACAATTTAAAAAAATTATCCCATTAGGACAATATACCATCGTTCAATAAGAACGATCAAAAAAAATCGTCCTAAAGGGACGATAGATCGATCTTTCAATAGAGACGATTAAAAAAATCATCCCAAAGGGAATATATCTTCCGAGATAAAATTGATTTGAAATTAAATTCGATTTTGATTCGTAATTGTTGTTACTTTTATATTCATATTCTCTTTTTTTTTAGATTATATAAAAATTATAAAGATAAATAGGTTTTAAATAAATAATTCATTAGCTTCTCTTAATTTAAATAAATAACAAATTACACATTTTTTATCATTAAACTCTTTTTAAAAAGAATTGTTAATTTCATTTTAATATATCTTGTGTGAAATTTAATATTATTATTATATGGAAGTTTGCTAGGTAAATGGGATTCTAAGAATTTTTTAATTTTTGATGATATTAAATTAAAATGCAATAAGAATTAAATTTTAGTCAAAAAATTCTCAGAACCTTTATTTTTCTAGCAAATCTTCCATCATTACATCTTTTACAGTTCATATTATTCTTAAAAACTAAATAATTTATTATCAAAATTTCTTAGTTTTTCTTTTAAGGATTAATATTAAAAACAATTTATAGTTTGTTTATAATATTTATAATAATTTATTATATATTATTGCTAACAAATTTTACAAATTATATCTTATCCCTTAAATGGTTAATATAAAATTACTCATAAAAATATTGATATTTTAATATCTAGTAATCATAAAAAAATGAAATTTAACTTATTAAATTCATCTAATTATAATGCATCTAATAAAACTTATATTTCTAGTATTAATAAATCCAAAATCATAATATTTTAAAATATTTTAAATCTTTAAAAATAATTTTTTGTCTAATAATTAGAGAAAAGTATAAATTAGTTTATTAGATTCTTCTTTAAATAGTAATAAATAGTAGTATTTTCATATTTCTAAGGTTAATTAATATATAGTAAGATATTTCAATTTAAATAATTATATTCTTTTTATAATAATCCATTACTTATTTATCCTTATATAATTATTAATTAATAGCATTTTTTTTTAGATTTTTACTTAGAAAACATTATAAAATTTATTATAAAATTTATAAATTATTATTTTATTATAAAATATTTTAAAATAATATTAATTCAAAAGAAAAATTGCTTTTAAATTTAGAATAAAACCATTAAAAAATACAAATAATTATATAATACAAAACATTTGCTTAAATTTATAAATTTAACTAACTCTTAATAATAATATATTAATTTAAATACATTAATATATATTTTTCCCTACCAAAAGTCTCTGACAGATTAAAATTTATGAATAAAATTTTGCTATATATATTTTTTAAAAACAGGTTTTCTTACTATTGATCTATTCAAATTTGCTAAGCTTTTTTTTAGACTTAGCTAAAAATCCAAATTTTTAAAAAATAAAAAATTTTATAATTTTTATTACTTAAATTTTTTAAAAATAGCAAATCATAGAAAGCTAATTATTTTTGAACATGATATTATTATCTTACAATACTAATGACTGAAAATTAGTATTAATATAAGATTAATAAAAAATTTAGCTTTAAGATTTTATAAAGCGAGATTTTATGGAGAGTTTTGAAGACTTATACAAAATGTATTTTAAAGGTAAAATGTAATTATGGGTTAAGTAATTAGAATTTTATTATAGAAAAGAATTTATTACAATTATATTTGTTAGTATACAAGTGGGTTTAGTAATTATCTTATTGTTGATAAAACTAAAGTAAATTCTCTATCGTTAATGAAGTTCTAAAGTTACCTTATTTATAAGAAATCTGATAATATAAATAAATAAAATAATAAATATAAAACTATATAATTGATTATTAATATTATTTGATTACTAATGAAAAAGAAAATTCTGGCATCTCTTAAGTCTTCACATAACCTATACTTATAACATATCTACTATTTCTTGTATATTTGATATATATGGTATGTTTGATATATTATGCAAATTTAGTATATTTTATAGATCTGATACGATCAGCAGATTGGACAGATTTATGGTATAATAAATCAGGTAATCTATTCTGTCAGATGATTTGCAATTGTTTTTTTTATTATAATATGATGTCAAAATGTTATTAAAAAAAATATTGTAAAAGAAAGCTTACAGATAGTTTTCTCATTTAGATAAACCATTTCTTTTAACTGAGTATAAAGAAAAAATCTTTATACTAAGCTAGAAAAAATAGAAAAGTTTCTCAAAAAAATCACTGTAAATTTTAATTAACTTAGTTTTACCTAAATTAACACTAAGACTTTCAGAAACGTGTTATATAAATATGATTATTTTGGCTAAATTGAGAAAAAAAACCTTTATTTCAAAAGACAATAGAAAAAACGCTTAAAATAGTATTAATAGAATCAATACTGAATGAGAAATAGGATAATATCATTTGGAATGATAAATTCTGATTTTTATTATTTGAAAATAATGGATAATAATGAATTTGATAAAAACCTCATAAAAAATAAAATATAGATTGTTTAGTCTTATAGTCAAGTCTAATAATAATAAAGTAATGATTTAAGACTATTTTGTTAAAAATAAGCTTAGTCTATTAGTAGTGTTAGATAAAAAAAATCATAGAAAAATGTATAAAAATATGTTAGAAACTAAATTATTACCTTTTATAGAAAGTTTATTAAAGATAATTTCTTAACTTTTCAAGATGATAATACTTCAGTATATAAAGCAAACTTGATACTTATATGAAAAATGGAAATTTAGTATCTTTGATTCTATAACTCAGATTTTAACCCAATTGAGCATTTATAGGATTATCTTGGAAGGAGAGTACATAAGCATAAATCCTGATCAAAAAAAAATAAAGAAAAACTTATTTTGTTTTAGAAGAAGAATGATTAGAATGGTTGTTGATTTTTTAAAAAAATTAGTAAATAGCATAATATGTAAAGTTGAGGCTATATATAATTAAGAGTAAAGATAATCCTAAAAAGTAATAATATTAGATTTAAAAAGTTCATAACCACAGAATTCTAGTAATATATTTTTTTTAATAATATTAATAAAGTTTTTGAGTAAATGTGAATTAAAATTTAAGTGAATTTTTTAGAAAAACATCAATCTTCAAAACTGCTGGAAACTTTTAGTAAGAGAGTGTAGCTAATTTATACAGATATAATCCAAGTATATTACTATAGTTTATTATTTAATATCTAAC